TATAAGGGACTCTTATAGTGTAGTAACTATATAGAACACTATAACTACTAAAAGTAATATAAGATTTTTTACTAATTAGTATATAAATTATATTAATCTATCTAGAATTAATATTAATTATAAGTGTTAAACTATAGGATTAAGTATAATTATACCCTAATTAGGTAGGTAATTACTCTTAATTATCTTATGTTATTATAATTAAAAGTAAATTATAGAGAGGCTTTAGTTTAATTAGAAGGTAGGTATAAGTATAAAGGATAAATTCTATATGTCTATCTCTAAACCTATTAATACTAACTTATATCTTTATACTTAATTAGGATTAGAATCTTCTAATTAGTCTACATACTACCTTACTATAGGCTAATCGCCCTACCTTACTTTAATATACTTACTATTAAGCTATATAAAAAAGGTGTTATTACTACACTTAGTAAGCCCTTTAAAGAATCTAATAAGGTAGAAGTAAAAGCCCTTATTAACTATAGTGTATTTTATATTACTATATTTAATAAGAAAACGTATAGTAATATATAGATCTTTAAGTTATAAATAGTATATAAGGTTAAAAAGAAAAATAAGTAACTATATAAGAAATTATAGTTAGTTATTTAAAGTTATACTAATAATAGTAAGAAGATAATTTTTATATAGTTACCTATAATCTAATAAATAGCCTAGTAATTAATCTTTATCCTTACTTCTTTACTTTTATAATAAGAATTTTACCTTTAGTTATATAATATTACTTAGGTATATACCTAATCTACTACACTACTTAACTATATTATTCTTATAAGACTTCTTATATAAATCTACTACTTTTACTTTAATAACTTTATTATAAAGGTAATAAAGCTACTCTATAGTATTACTAAGGTAGGCACCTACTAGTAGGCTATATATAACTACTATTATAAAGAGAATCTTTAGATAGATTTATTAACCTTTAACTTTTACTTACTTATTTTATTACTTAATAATAAGGATTTTAGCCTTATTAGTATATAAATAGATAATATAATTAGCCTTATAGATAATAAATTCTCTACTTATAAAGAGAAAGAGCTTAAAAAAGCCACTTTTACTATAAAGCTAAAGTAGCTACTAACTATTAATAATTTTATTACCTTTAATAGTAGTGTGCTTTCCTTTAGCTATAATAGTAAAATATATTTTTACTAAAAGGATTAAGGTAAAAAGCTTTAGCTTATTAATATAAATTTACTTACTACTAGGTAAGATTTTATTTAGTAAAAAGCCTATAAGGCGTATATTATATTAATTTACTAACCTAAGGCTTACTTTAACTACTTAGTTACTATATAACACTAGGAGCCTATAGAGGAGGAGATTAAGGCTCTTAATTACTAGATTAAGTAGTAAATAAGTTACCTTAACTATAGCCTGCTTTTTTAGCTAATTAACCTTATAACTATAAAGCTTTTTATATTTATTAATAGCTTATTTATAAATAACTATAACTTTACTTTATAACTTAGCTTTATTATTTTACTTACTAATAAAAGTAATATTATATAACTTACTACTAATAATAAGAAATTTATACTTACTAGTAATATTATTTACTTTAGCTTAATAAAGTATAAAAAAGTTATATATAGCGTATTAGCCTCTAAGGTCTATAGTATAGTTACTAGCACTAATATTACCTATATAATTAGTACTATACTTATAATAATTACTAACTATCTCTAGCTACTATAAATCCTAATAATCCTCTATACTAACTTTATAAAGGGTTAGCCTAGTTACCCTTTATAAGGCTATATATAGTGTATTCTAGGCACTTAGTGCCTAAACTAATTAATCTTTTAGTAATACTAGAATAGTCTATTAACAGGCGTAGCACACCACCTATACCTTTATAATTGTTTAGGCACTAAGTGGGTCTTCTGGCTAGACAGGGGCTAGGTTTAAATCCTAACTGTCGCGCGCTCTCTTTAGTGTAGGCCTTAAGGGGCTAGAGGTTATTAATTAATAGGTTAGTTAGCTAGGCATAAATAAGGGGCAGCTTACGTTAGGCTCAGAGGGACTAATATGCGATAGGTAAGCCTAGCGCCAGCCGGGGGTCCCCCAGCTGTTGCCAGGTGCCAGGCGCCTAGGGCCTTTAGGGTTAACATGACCTTATGCTCTAGCGCATAGTTACTAGCGCCAGTGCACGTGGGCCTGAAGCGACTCAGGACGCGTCGCATTAGAAGGGGGGTAATTGTAAGGGGTTAGCCTGGTTACCCTTTATAAGGCCATGTGTGGTGCATTTCAGGCACTTAGTGCCTGAACTGATTGATCTTTTGGCAATGCCAGAATGGTCTATTGACAGGCGTGGCACACCACCTATACCTTTACAAACTTATACTCTTTTTATAAGTGCCTTATAAAGCTTAGCACTACTAAGGAGAAGCGCCTTATAATTAATATTATAGCGCTTTACTAGTTATATAAGTAATATAAGATTTATAAGATCTAATAGATATAAGGGAAGGATAACCTAGTAAATAGATTTATAAAGTTATTACTAAATAAAGCGCTAGAGTAGTTAATTAATAATAGTTAATTAGAGATATAGATAAATAAATAGGTTTTATATATATAATAAGTTATATATATAAAAAGTATTAAATATTTTTAGCCTTTTGTTTTTATTACGTTTTTAGGCCCTTTATAAATAGATAGAAAATAGGGATATTTACAGCACTTTAGAAGGTTACTAGTATTATAATATTAACTATTGCCTAGATATTAGCAGTATAGATTAACGCTAAAATAGCTAGGATAACTACAGCTAATTTGCTGTAGATCTACTAGATCCACAGTAATATTACGTAGTGGATTTGCTGCGTAATCCCACAATAGTTTCCTTCTTTACGTATAATTTAGAACCGGTATTTACCCCTATTATTTGTTACTGCCTATTAATACGTACGGTTAACCGTATCACCAACCTGGTGAAACCAACAACATGGTCAAGAAATTCCTTTTCGCTCGGCAGCAAATACCAAGGCGTCGAAAGAGCGGTCGTCCTGCGTTAGGGAGTACGAAGTCGGTTGTCGTGAGGTTAGCCAACCAAATGGAATAGGTATGCGCAAAAGAGACAGTTGGCGGAACCCAATGGCAGGCCAGACTCAGTGGGCGGAGCATCGTCCGCCTTACTGATTGGCAGCTACAGGCGGCTGATCAAACGGCTAGTTCAATGGCTACGCAAATACTCCATGGCCATCATCTGATACAACTCCAATTCTTGATATCGCCGCACTGTTGTGCCTCTTGCGCCCCGATGACGGTTTGCAGAAGTTGCTGCGCAAAGTCTGGGCTGTGCAGGCTCTCCCTGGACGACGATCCGTCAGCTTGAATTGGGGTGGGGGTTATAGGGTCAAAAAGTACCTATTTGCTACTATATACTGTCCCCTATCTATGAAGTATTGGCGCAGAATGCGCCTCTTTCCTCGCGAAGAATCTCTGGACAGGAAGTGAACTTAGGGGCCAGGCAGTGCTTCTAGTCGTGCGTTTTCAAATGCGTGGTGTCTTCCGTCTCGGGGATTTATCGTCGAGCAGCCTGCTAAGGAAGTAAAGGTTGTGCGACGGCTTTCCCCTCTTCTGCGATCATAAGCTTGCCCGGATTTGGGTATGCTCCGATTGTAATCTGCCCTGTCAGGCAGATTATGTGAGCCTTAAGCGGCCCTGTATCTGTCAGTATAGTATGCCGGGAGTGTGTGCCTCCCTAAAGACTGTTGGTTTCTATTTAGGAACAAGAGAAGGGTGGAAACGGGTTTCCTTGTAGTCACTTTCTGTTGGCTACAGAGACCGGTTGTTTTTGATAGCTCACCCTCTGTCTTCGGCCGGCTGATGTCATTTGAGCGTTGCTGGTCTTCCCACGATGAGACTTGAAGGGAGGTAGAGGGTGTGTGACTTCCCCCCAATCTGTAGTCGCCAAGTACGCACGCATCCCTGGGTGTGTGTCCTAGTGACGGGTCAGGCGCACAGTCTCGTAGGTAGACATGCTCGACATGTTTTACCCCTCAGCAGCCCCTCGAAACATTCAAACATAAAGAAAGTAATGTTTCCAACTCGACCATCCGGATTTGTTTTGTCATTTTTCTTTTTGCCACTACCGTATCCAGCATGATGGCTTCCACTTTCTGCTCTGCTTCACCGGGCGGTCTGCCAGGCTGCTTCAAGGCTGACCGACCGCAGTCACCGGGCAGTGCTGGAGGCTGAATGTCAATAGTTTGAACCAAGAATGCCTTGACCGACTGTCAACGGATTGCCCTGAAGGCTGAGCGAGTACCTTCTCACCTTGAGCCGCCATGTAGTACCGTGTCTGTTTCTCTCTTTCTCTCTCTATCTCTCTCTCTCTCTCCTCTTCTTGGGCCGTACTCCTCACCTTTCCTTTCGAGGCCCTCTTTCTGCCTGAAGACTAACGTCTCGACTGTACCGCTAGCCCCGCTTTGACGTCCTTGAAAGGCGACCGAGCCATTGGCAACCCATTGGCGACCCATTTTCCTTACCTTCTTCCACTTCCGGCCGAGCTCCCCTTCTCAAAGGCACATGCTGGCCAGATTGAGATTAGGTTCAGACTTGTCACCGCCCCTATGGAAAGAGTCATAGCCAGCAGCAGACGAACAAATCCCAGTACGCGGCCACCAGTAGAGAACCAATGACTCCATGTATCCCTTAGACCGGGTACGCACGGTCTCGTAGGAATACGATGGGTGAGGTGAGGCTACCGGTCAGCACAAAATGGAACAAGCCACAAAGTGCTGCGCCTACAAGTATTAGTGCTTTGTATTTCGAAAGTGGACGTTGGTGCCTAAGAAATCGTGGCGGCAGCAAGGACGATGAGTGTATAAGAACGTCAATTTCTTCTCGCCTCTAACTCACCACGTCAACCCGATTACCCGATTTGGTGAGCCGCCAAAGAAATTCAATATTACTTCGACGCTTTTCTTGATTGAATCCTGTTTTACATTAGCATCAAAATGCACAATACCAAGCAAAAGTCTGGCTCGAGCCACAAAACCTCTAGCCGAAGCTGCCGAAGCTCCAAACATGGTTCGAGCGGATCGGTGTCGCCTTCAAGCTCCAACCAGCAACAGCAAGTGCCACGCACTATTATAGCTCAGTATGTCGAGTCAGATCGTCATCTTCCGTCTACCCAGAACTGGCAGCAACATTCGAATAACGTGGGTTCGCGTGACAGTACAACGGGAAGTGCGAAGTACGTTCATGATGCGCAAGATGCGAGTGACTTCAGCTGACTGATGTTAGTGATAGATACAGCGGTCATAACGATGACTATAGGTCATACGATGTGCAACGCAGTTACCAAGTGCGCCGAGAACATGCCATAAATCTTCCAGGCCCTGCCCCGCCTCCACGTCAACGAGCTACCCCGGAGGAACAACTACGTGCCTACGATAGCAGGTTTGGAGGATACCACTCCACCATAATGGCTCCAACGCAGTATTCGTACCCTCAAGATCTCGATCTCGACTCCTCGGAGATGCCGAACAACAACCCCAGACGCGATTTCTAAAAAGGTAAAGTTTATCGCCTTAGGCTCTTCAAGGCAAGCACTAACTTTGCTCCTTAGGCTGATAGTCATGATCGATGACTCCATCCAATCACTACAGACTTTGCCTTGATGCAAATCATCACCATGGCCCTCAACGATAGACTTCTCTCCTTCTTGTACTAGAGACCCGGCAACAAATATCCACACCATAGAAAAAGTCCCACAAGGGGAGTTTCACAGCAAGACGAGAGAAAATAGAAACGAGAAAGAATACAAATATATGAATGTGTTGGTACTCCACACGAGGTATGAAAAGATGGGAAAGGAGCTTTTTGGACTTACAACCGGAGCATTTTTGGGTGGAATATTATACTTGTTCGCGTTAGAGTGCACATGTTTCTTCGTGGGCGTTATGTAGTTGAATAAAATATCCGATAAGGAATCCTGGAGTGATGCAATGTGGAAAGATGTAGCAGAAGTACGAGATCTTATAATTACCAGGTTAACACTGGGAGTATCACGTGTGCTGTGTAACCTATTTCCTCTAAGGCTCCGTCGTCTAATAGTCCGGTGTTGTTTCAGCATGTGTTAATGTACCGGGCATCAGCGCGCTGGCGTGTTTGTTATGATGTGGCTGACTTTGTGCCATCCATTGGTTGTTGACAGTTACTGGCGGGCATGTATCCGAGGCTCGTCGTCGAATGGATGGCTGTTGGGCACCGAGCCATAACGACCTCCCATCTCTATATGAAGTCTTGAGTCAGATCCGAAGTCTGCCTTACTCTGATGTTTTGTCTCGCGGCGTCTCTCGAAGCTCTAACTTGTGACCAGACTTCCCTTGAATACGCCTCGGTAATGCGCGCCTCGTTAGTATGACTCGGCGAAAGTGAATATCAGCGACGCATATGACGGCTTTGGTGGTGGCGGACGCATTGCATCGAAGACTAAATGGATTCTATGGGTTCATTCTAGAGGGCTGAGTATGCCGACTACCCTGCAGACGTTCTTGGATTGCCGCGCGCGATGTTCGCCGCGTCCATCATCGGCAGGCCATTCCTGGTCGGTATAGGAGGCTGTCATGCCGACGACTTTCGAGTCACACTTCCGTTCGAAGTTGGTGCTATGTAGGGCTTAAGGCGTTGAGAACCCGTGATTTGCAGCAAACAGCAACAAAACAGAAACAAATATGATGTCTGCGAAGAGACAGAGGTGACGTTGAATTAATTTTCGAAGCGGTCAAAGCGGACCGAGATTTGCACCGGGGGCTGTAACGGGCTTCGGTTTGCGGTGAAAGCGACGGAAGCAACGCTAGACATGGGAAACAATGCACTTTACCTCTTCAGATGTCGCCACCTGACAAGCCCAAGATCCGAATGCAGATTCCCGTCTGCCTTTTGCCTCTCGATGCCGGGGATGGGCAACCTCTAAATACCATCCGGAGGAAACGAATTCAGAAAGCCGTTGGTGGCCTGATCATTCACAGACAAGCATCCCACTCCTGAGGGGCGGAGTCTAAGCAGAATTAGCACATGACCAACCTGCTTGCTCATCATCAGCTCGTGTCTGTTATGAGCAACCGTGTATTGCTCTTTACTGGGAGCGATCTCCCCGAACAAAGCGCAGAACTTAGGCAGCAGAAGCACCCTTGTATGGATTGGATCGTGAGACCTTCGGTGTGAGTCAATTGGGGAAATGGAGGCAACAGTCTAAACCGAGCACTGACGGTCCTTTTTTTAATGCAGCCTCAGTCAACGATCGAAAACATGCCATTCCCGTTCTCCTCAATTTTACATGCTGCGCCAACCATCTGAGCTGAGGCATTCTTTGCGGGACTACATTGTTACGCTTGACAGTTGCAAGCCACGGTTGGGCGGTTCCAGACTTACATCGATTCGTTCATCTACGCCTGGTACATGAAACCCTCCGCCTCTAAGCCTCCTTCCAACGACTCCCGAAGCAGAACAACCAACATGTCCCAAAAACTCATTGAAATCGACGGCCGAACAGGAGAGGGCGGGGGCCAGTTGGTACGCGTCGCCGTCGCCCTCGCCGCAGTGACATCGCAAGGGGTCCGCATCACCAACGTACGTGGCAATCGGCCGTCGCGCGGTGGCGGCGGCCATGGAGGTGGCGGTGAGAGATCCCACGCTTGCAAGCCTACGCGCACGCATCAGCAGGATCACAACAGGCTGACGCAGCCCCGTTTCCCGGGTGTTCCTCGTTTACAGGTCTCAAGGCGCAACACGTCACCGCCATCCGATGGCTGGCTGAGACAGCAGAGGCGGACGTCGAGGGCCTCTCCGTCGGCAGCGATACCCTCACCTTCGTCCCGCGGCTGCCCCCCTCGACCGCCCTCGCCGGCAAACCCCGCAACATCAGGATCGATGCAGACACGGGCGCTGCGAGCACCCTCCTAATCCTCCAGGCCATCCTGCCGTTCCTCTTATACGCCGCAGCGGATGACGATGACGGCGGCCCCGCGCCCATCGAGCTGGAGGTTACAGGCGGCACGAACGTGGGTTGGTCGCTCTCTTACGAGTACCTCGACCAGGTCCTCCTTCCCCGACTGGAGTCCTGCTTTGGTATACACGTCACGCGGAGGCTGAAGCGGCGTGGCTGGAGCCTGGGCCCGCAGAGCAGGGGGTCCATCGTTCTCACCGTCAATCCCTTGAGACTGGGCCAGACGCTGCGTCTTACGGATCCGGGGGCCGCTTGCGGAGGCCTTCCCAGTTCCGAGGTCACCAACGTAGACGCCTCCATGATCGTCCCCTCGCACATACACGCCGACCTGCAGAACGCCCTGGTGAGTGCCCTCACCACGTTCCTGCCCGACGCCGAGGTCGACTTCAAGGTCGTCGAGGACTCAGGCCACGACGCGCGCGTCTACGTGCTGCTTGTGGCGCGGTCCGCCTCGGGGCTCAGATGGGGCCGCGACGTGCTCACGTCGATCCCGAAAAATGGGCGACAGCAGCGTGAACCCGTCGCCTCCCTGGTCTCGCGGAAAGTCGTCGGCGACTTGGTGAAAGAGCTCGCGGTACCGCGGTCCACAGCCGACGAGTTCCTGCAGGACCAGCTCGTCATCTTCCAAGCGCTGGCCGACGGCCGGACGTCGTTCCCGCGCTGTCCCTTGGCGGGGGGTGCTGACGTGGAGGTCTTGGAGCAGGATGTGGCGCAGTTGGATGTTGGCGAGAGGATGAGAAGGGACAGGGCGGACAAGCCGTTCGGGCATGGCAGCTTGCACTCGCAGACGGCGAGGTGGGTGGCATCGCAGATCCTGCCGTCGGTGGAGTGGTACAACAAAGGGACGGATTGCAAGGGGGCCGGAACGAGCGTCAGGTAGAGAAACTGGATATCAAAACGAAGCAACCTATAGGACCCCATGAAGGGTTCAATCTCGACCTAGGTAGTCTACCCCCAACTCCGAACCGAGCGCCAGAAAACTCAGCAGAAACGCACCACATGTTATGTTCGAAATGACTTTTTCACCTTCCAACTGTTATTCTTGTTCTTGCAGACTCTTTGGAGTAGCACGAATCGTCCACTGCCCCTCCCTGACATGAGCAGGGCCGCACTTCCAGGAGCAGCCCCGCCTAAGAAATGGGACGGCACCATCGTTCTCCTCGTCCAAGTCTGTCCACGGCCGGGCTTTGACGGCGTAGCCCTCCTCGTTTTGCCTGCTCTCTACGAGACAGACCTGCCACCACTCCAACCACTGGGTGGTCGGGGCCACAAAGGGCTTCTTGCACATGGCACACGTAAGCCCGCCCGCCTCGCGCTGATCCGCAGCACGCTCCAGCAGGGTCTGCAAGTGAGACAGCGAATCAGGGATGTAATGGGGAAGCTCATCCAGATCGGAGCTCTTGTATGCACTGCGCAGCGCCAGCTCCACCAGACTAGGGACGCGGCTCCCCTTAACACTTGCAACGCATCTGCCAGCGGATTTTGAGTGGTAAGGGGCGGAAGACGTAGGGGAGCCGCTAGACGTGCTTCGTTTGCCATCCTGTCGTTCCGTCCGCACAATGACGGCCTCCGGGTCAAGGCGGAAGTCTGAATGCGACAAACCCAAGCTGTCCAGGTAGTGAACGGGTGACCGTGCAAAGAACCTTGCGGCAACCCCATCGGTTCCCGGCTTCCACGCTCCGACAAGTTCCAATCCTTCCGAACCATTGCCTTCAAGATTTTCCAGGCCACCAAGACGTGGTCGTTCGGTCGCCTGGAAGAAGTGGTTTCCCTGCAGAAGCAGCTCTTCCAAGGCAGAGGGGGCGGCCATGAGATCGAGCAGCTCTGCAGGGAGGTATCTCAGTAGATTCTGTGCAAGGTTCAGGGTGCGAAGGCGCCGCATCTTGCCAATGGCCGGAGGGAGCTCCCTCAGTCGGCATCCGCGAAGTGACAGCACAGTGAGGTGCTCCAGGTCGAAGATAGCGCCTGGGAGCTTGATTAGAGGATTACGGTACAGGTAGAGTTGCAAAGCTGGATCCTTCTGCTCGAACGGAACGCCCTCGGCCACGATAGGTATGCAGGAGAACTCGGACAGGGGGCGAATGGTGGCATCGGAGAGTGTCTTGAGTTCCATCATGCTGATCCTAGTTAGATAACGATTGCAATGCATGACGCAGGGCACTCACGAGAGATCAATGTACTCGTTGCCAGAGTCCAGGCACTGCTGGATTCTTTCCCGGGCCTCCAGCTCCTGGGCCGAGACGACGTTGCGACGACGAGGTGGCGCCAGGTTCAACTGGGGTAATCTCGACTGCGTCGGCAGATCGGGCATCATGATGCTCTCCTCCCCATCCGTGCTGTCGCTGCCCATCCACACACCACTGTCCAAATCGCGCTTCAACGTCCGCTTGCCCCTCAGCGCCGGCCGCGGCTCCCCGGTAGCCGAGTCAGAGGACGCAGGCTGCTGATGAAACCAGGAACCCACGTACTTCTTCTTCTTCCGTCTGCCCTCAACATAGTTGTCCAGACCTGGGTCATCATCGCTGGAGAAGACGGCGGGGTCGCTGGAGTTGGACCATGACGGGGGCGCGACCGAATGGCTCTTGAAGTTGTACCTGCGCTTCCTCGGGTTGTTGCTAAAGCGCTCAGTCTGCGCATCCCACGAGATAGAAGGTGACAGGCTGGGCAAAGTCGGTTCGTCGGCCATGGCGAAGATTGGAAAGGGAGGAGTTAAAAAGATAGAGAAATGTAGGGTGGTGCGCGCAATTGACAGCCGATATCAAGGAGGATTGGGAAGCTCCGGCCCCCACCACCACGACCCTCGCGAATGGGCGCGCGCGTCGCGCCGCAAGTGGGGGTTGGAACGCGTTCGGCCAGGGGTCAGGCCCACAGGGGTCGTTCGCTCACACGATCTCCGATGACAGCTCCGAGCAAACACTTGGTTCGTGTCAAATATGTGCAAAAGCTGCGTAGAAAATGTTCTAGATTGTGGGTGTTATATCAGCTATTTTTTTTTAATTTTTTTTTTGCCAAATGGAGGTAATCGGTTCCCCTGCGACGCGACCATCACTGACTTGCTAATCACCCCAAGAAACTTGCAGCAGTTACCTAATTATGCTCAAACGGCTTAGCGTCTTTTGTCCCTCCTGGTCGAGGAATTCCGGAATCCGAATACCCTTCACCCCACACATTGCACAGACCAATTAAGTCCCGTTGCCTCAAGGATCCGCAGCGGCAACACGCGGGGCATCAAATGCACGAAATCCAGGTACCAAACGTTGGCTACCTAGGCATGATCACAATCCTACCCTGATTAGTAGCCAGTGCATCATGTCCCAGAGTCATTCGTACCACTGATGTCTTGTTTCTTTTGTTTAAATTAGGGCGTATCGAATCATTTCTCAATGGATCTTCTACTTTGACTGGGTCAGCTCCATGATTTGGATTCGTCGACCTCGACAGGTTCGCCGCGCAGGGCCGTGCATCCTGTACCAAGCACAGGATGGAAATTGGGACGCAGCTCTGTTTGGCCAGCATCAGTTCAGGGATTGCCAATATGGATCCGTCTTGTTCTTTATGGCAATTGCCAACGGGGCGTGGAGGGTCAAAATCGCAGTGGCATCCCCCCTTCATGAGCAGTTTGCGCAGCAAAGCCGCATCCAGCTTGACCTGACTAAACCAATAATATGGATAGCATTGTTCAGTCCCATTCATCATCATCGCTGTCATGCGCCTTAGACTTGGACACGTTGCCCTGCCTAATACCCTTGCCCATCGCCCTCTCTTCTTCCTCGTCATCGGCTTGCCTCCGACGCTTGGCCACGCGCATATCCGACTCGGGGACGGCCCCAACCTCGACCAAAAGGTTGTCAATGTGCAGCATATTAATCTTAACGCCTCCCATCTGCATGAGGGTAACGACCTGCTTCACAATGTCGCCATTCTTGTAGACCAAGATCGTGGGACAGTTCCGCTCAGGGTAGTTCTCGATAGCCTTGTCTGCGCGCATTTCGCAGAACTTGATCTCTCCATATTCCCGCGCCGCCTGCCTCCAAAGCTCAGTGAGCACACGGGACTCAACGTTGGTTCCCAAAGATGACGTCAGGTTCACGAACACGGGGCCGTTGTTCGAAGCTTCCGTGACCTCCCGTGAGTACTCAGGTTTCGAGAGCGGGTAAACGGTGCCGTGGAGTGCTTTCTTGGTAAGCTCATTAAGCTCCTGCATTCTGCGCTGGCGGTATTGCTCCAGGAACGCCTCATCCTCGTCATCCTCCAGCTCGTCAAGCTCGTCAAGGTCCTTGCCCTCCAGTCTGTTCTCGTGCGCTAACCGCCGTCCTTCGGCGATGGCCTCTTCAATCATGGGCGTTGGGCTGGGTGGCTTCTCGGGAATGACGCCATGTTTGCGGAGGATGTCGTTCCTGGCAGCACGTGTCAGGGGTCGTCGGGTAGCTGTCACGATGCAACATACCACTCGGTGTCTGCGTTGGGGTCATCGATCGGGACCTGTATTCTCTGGTCCATGGGGGCAGCCATTATGAAATGTACGGCGTGTGGCAGATGCGAGCTGGTGCGAGGGGGGTCAAAGTCGCAGAGGTGAGGACAGCGTCAGACCGGGGATGGAGACTAAGTATGATTGTAGAGTTACGAATAGTGTGGCTTTAGGCGACAGGGAAACGTCGCAGGTGCCTAAGTACAGTGGAGGCTAAGAACGATAGGGCGCAAGGCTCTTCAGGTGAGCTGCTGCTGCATCGGCGCAGTGCTCCGCGCCTCACCGAGCTTTGAGCGACCGGCCCCAGTGTGATCCACATCCGCCAATCAAATCACGAACAAAGTCACGAGTCACGTGAAAGGGTTGATGTGCCCTCCGGCACTAGCCGTAAACGGACTAGTACGCGAACTTTTCGCCATTGGAGAGGGAAAGTGCGGAGGATTTTGTCAACGACGCTTCCATCCACCGAACAATCCGCCATCTCTGCGAGTGCAGCCAGAATCTACTTCCAACACCATCAGATTCCCGTCAAGTCCACCGCACTCGCACCGACCCCCGATCAATCAACTCGATCAGATCAGTCAAGATGGTAAGACCCTCCCGATGCTGACGCTGCCCGCGCGTGGCGACACGTGTGTGATATGTTATTTCTCGACGAACGCAAAATCCGAACACCCGACCGAGATGGAACCCCGCGAAGAGGCGACAGAAGAATTTAAGAGGAGGAAAAGACGGTACGGCCGGGCTGTGGAGGAAAGGACACGACGATTACACATGCGATATTTGATGAAGGAACCATCATGCTGATGGCTTCTCCCCCAGGTTCTCGCCGTTGATCTCCTCAACCCCTCCCCGGCTTCCGAGGCCCGCAAGCACAAGCTCAAGGTACGATAGACGCCCATGATGGCCTCACCTTGCCTACCCCCATTAGCCTCGAACTTTTCGTGCTCACATTGGATAGACCCTTGTGCCTGCCCCCCGATCCTTCTTCATGGACGTCAAGTGCCCCGGCTGCTTCACCATTACCACCGTCTTCTCCCACGCCCAGACCGTCGTCATCTGCCAGGGATGCACCACTGTCCTCTGCCAGCCTACCGGTGGTAAGGCGAGACTCACCGAGGGCTGCTCTTTCCGCAGAAAGTAAACTGTCTATCGTGACGGTTTCTTTGTAGCCCTTGGGTATTAACGACTTGGACGGTTCATCACTGGTGGGACATCTCGGATCTGCAAAAGCAAGCGACCTGGGCATGGGCGTATAGACAACCCTGGCACGGGCTCTTAGAGTCTGCTGTCTTCGAACAGAACATAATCAGACAACCTTTGCGGATAGAAGATGGAACATCCAAAAAAAATTCCTTGACCAAAAAACACAGGGGCGTTTGGGGGTCTCCGGATATCCTTTGCATCACCAATCGACGCATTTTCTCAGTTTTTTTTCCTCGCGGCCGACGGACAATCAAAAAAAGCAAATCAGTCAAACAAACCACTCGCTCGCTCTCTGTCTCTCGTCCCACGACTGTCTCTTCTGCAATGCGTCACGTCGTTCTGTCGCCAATGGGGGCTTATTTTTTCTTGGTCGTCTTCTCTGCATGGGTGGACAGCTGGAAATGGCCTTTCACATGAGCGTTCGAGTGGTCTGCAATGCGGCCTCTTTGGACGCGAGGACGTGGAACCTGCTGATTGAGGATCGCTTCATACCCAAGTGCAGTGAGTTCGGAGGATTCAGCACTGCTCGCGAAATTCAATGGTTTCCACACCCCCTTACCGTTTCTTGTGATGCCCTTATGAAACGGTTTTTTTTTTCCCCTGTGATATGACGTGCTCTTGTGTACCTTGATGGATCTCTGACTTCCCCACTGGCTACCCACTTGTTGAGACCCTATCGTGAAGTGAGGCTCTGGACAGATGAGACATTGGCAAGCAAGCACTTGTTGTGCTGTTCTGGATATAATTTGTTCCATTACGGCAATATTGTAGGCTTTGTGAATATGTTGCTTCAAGCCGTGAGCTTGGCCAGTGCTTTATTTTTCAATGCAATGCATAAGCTGGCAACGTTCTCTGAAGTCGGGACCCTTGTGCATGCGCTTACCAGTCTAGATATATCATGGATTACTGAACCATTTGACCGCCTCGACATTGCCTTCCACGACATGGTATTCAAGATTGGCTACATATTCGGGGCTCAGCGCTGGTCGTTGCACTACTGTAACTTCCCCTCCCGGTTTGCGTCCTGCCCTGTTTTGTCCTCCCTCGGCTGGAAGATCAAAATGCATATCAGGGTCGTTTTCACTGGGGATCGCCTGGTCGCTGCGTCATCCGGACAATGGTGGCCTACAAAGTGTGCCATCGGTTTGCTGACCACAGAGGAAGGTATCAAACGTTAAGAGAACTCTAAGCGGCTTTTTGCGTTTCTTCATCGAGCTTCTCAATAAACCGAAACCCAAAATAGCACGAGAGACATAAAGGGTTTATCCCTCTCCCTTAAGCTCATCTCTGCCGGTTGGGAACCTGCTGCTTGACAGTGGCTGACACTCCCCTGCCAGCCATGATGAGTTTCAGGGTGTGTGGTCCCAATAGAACACAGCCTGTTAAGTGGGTTTTAGTGGGCTCCCACCGCCAGCTCGCGAAAAAACACGCCTTGACGCGCTTTCGGACGGATCGTCGGCAGGCTCCTTCTGCTTCGTGCTCCTCAATGTTGGAAACTGCCTGGTGACCCAGCGCTGCACTGCACTGCACCAGCACCGCCCACGAGGTCCCTCCCCCCACCATCCGTTCCTCTTCGCCCATCAAATCAATCTCGCCTTCTATCCTGTACCCAACCTCCTCCCATTCTTCGTCAGAACATCTCCCCTCCCGCTTTTCTACGTCATTTCTCGCTTGCGATCGTTTCTACGGTTACCATCTCCTTTGCTCGTCTTTTTGCGACCAAAAGAAGACTCTCCACTCTACCAAGCCTACCGCATCTCACGATCCGTTCCGTCTCCAACCCAAACCAAACACCCCAAAACCTCCATCACAGCCACAGCGACCAACGTCACCTCACCGTCGGCTTCGACACACTCGAACGCACAGTAAAGCTAGCTCATATTATTAATTTTCCTTTCCGCTGCACAACCATGTCGGCCCCGCGGACAAAGCGCCCCTTCGCCGGAGCATCCAGCGATCCAGCCCAACGCCAAATCACTTCCTTCTTCGCCCCCCGGTCCGGCCCAGCGCCCCCATCTGAGACATCATCCACCTTGACCACCAACAAGCTCCCCCCCGACGTGCAGTCCAACCTCCTCTCTGTCGGTATGCGCGTCCGCAAGTCCGTGCCCGAGGGCTACAAGACCGGCACCTACAAAAGCGTTAAGCTTTCGGCCGACACCGCGGAACCCCGCACCCCCGTCGTCCGGACAACCAACCCTGCCAGCAACAGGAACACCGCCGCCGCCTCTCAGCGCGAGCTGCTGCCGTTCTGCGGCATCAATAAGGTCGGCGGCCTGGCGAGCCAGCCCACCTACGCAAGCGAGAGCGAGCACGAAGCGGAGGGTGTGCCTGGCTTGGACGACTTGCCCGGCCTTAGCAGCTCCCAGGAGAGCGTCGAGAGCACCGCCAGTGACGGACGGAGCAAGAAGCGCTTCTTTATCGACGAAGAGACCGACGAGCCGGTTCAGGTGTGGGCGAATCACACGGCATGGCTGGACAGCGAAGTCAGCCCGCGGAGCCTGGCACCGTCCGGGTTCGCGAATGCCCGCCCGTTCGCGGTGCCGAGGAAGAGCCACCGCAAGTCCATGGCAGGGCAGGAGAACTTAGTCGTTGACGACTTTGATGACGCGGATTTCCTCGTCTCCCCGGACACCGATATGAGCGATGCGTAGTGTCTGTGGTCTGTTGCACGATGCATTACTGTTAGATAGGGGTTTGCGGCGCCTGGAGTCGGGATTGTGGACATCGGGGATGGCTTTCATCTGTACTTGGCAAGAGCTGCTTCGAGGACATTTGTTTTATCATCAGGACGAAGATGGAGAAAGAGACCGTTATGCTTGGGGTATGGGTTGTGGAATTGTATTAAGCCTCGTCTGGGCTGGGTGGTTTCTACCGCTGTTTTGGTATCATGGGCTATAGCATGCTCCTAGGATGCCCTCAGGGCCAGCAAATTGTACACTTTTTTTTTTCTCGGACAAGATTCTCCATGCGTCCGCCCCCCTCCCACCCTCGATCATTGCACGCTGTCCACTCTTACATACCTGTGAAGGGGTCCCGGAACTCGAGCAGGTCGCGCTGTCCGTAAAACTCGCCGGCAACCGTCAGGATCATGTTGAGCGTGGCTCGCATGTTCATCCTGGCGCGCAGCTGGTCGGCCATCTCCTCATCTTCGGCCTCCGCGGCGGGCTGCCCCTTCGATGGCGCCTCGGACGGCGCGTCCTCGGCGGCCGTGTCCAGCTGCGCGAGAAGCCTAGCTCGTGCCGCTTCAAGTGACTCGGCCGGCGCAGGTTCCTCGTCGATCTCGCCATCTTCTGAGACATCCATCGGCTCGGACTTTTGGTCGTCACCGTCGTCGTCAATCTCTCCCTCCTCAACCTCGCCATCCTCGGTGGGCTCTGTCGGTATGGGTCCGGGCTCCTCGGGCCTTGCCGCCGCCGCGGGAAGGACCTCTGATCCGGCACTCGGCGTCTCCGCCACGTTCCCACTCACCTCCTCCCCATCTCTCTCCTCGACCTGCATCTCCCGCAACACGTCCCCGTCGTCCGAGCTCTCGTCGACGGCGTCGTGCACCCCCAGGTCCATCCCCTCCCCCTCCAGCGCGTCCCGCAGGGCCGCCATGTCCGCCAGGCTCTGCATCATTAGCACCGCCCTCCGGCCCAGGTCCCGCACCCACCCGATCTCGGCGTGGTTCAGCTCCCCGCGCTCCGGCAGCCGCGCCAGCAGCGCCCACAACCACCGGCTCGTGCGCTCCCGCAGCTCGCAGCCCCGGCGGAGGAACTTGCCGCCCAGCAGCACGCGCACGACGCGCAGCACGCCGTCCTTGTCCATGCTCGCGACCTGCGCCGGCAGGGGGTCCGTGGCGCGGAGGCGCTGCGACCAGATGGCGAACGTGCCCGACTTCGGGCCAAAGGCGCCGACGTGATAGTCGTGGGTGCGTGGGAGCCCGGCAACGAGGCCCGGCGGCGGTGGGGCGTGGAGTGTTCTGCGGAGGGTGTTGAAGCGGGAGAGGATGGCGGCGAAATAAGCCTCGTGAATCGCCGCTTCCGGATCCGCCGTGTTCTCCTCGTCGTCGTATACGCCCTCGTTGCCTTTCCATTCGTCGTCTGCCGCGTCGTGGTGGCGAAGGGCGCGCGGATCGTCGTCCCAGTGGGCGGGCCGCGCCGTGTATGCGCCATCCTGGTAGTAACCTCTGAAGTCGCCCTGGCCGGTGGTGTAGATGTTGCGGTCCTCCTCGACATCCAAGCCTTCGTCCATATCATCGTGGCCGTCATTCTGGAGCTCCTTGGGCAGTTGCGGGCCGATCGGGACCTTTGGTGCGACGAGGAGGTGTGGGATGCCGTTCGCTTGCGTCCTAGAGTGCTCACCATATCAGCATCGTTTGCGACTACTTCAAAGAGACCAGTTCAGCATATGGAAGCTAACGCAGGCGGGAAAGGGCGAGAAGATCTGCTTACCTTACTGATTTGAGATACGCCATGGCATCTGCGTCGTCCTCAAAATCGAGGTCCGGGTCTACAGGAACCGTTGTTGAGCCGGCGGCCGACGAGAAGACGTATTTCTGGCCCCATGTCGGGTCGATGTGGGCGTTCTGGTGGTCGCGTGTCTTGGGGTTGGGCTGCTTGTTGCGCTTAGGCGCCGGTTCGGCAGTGTCGTTCTCGTCGGAGGCCGCGTAATTGCGCTTCGAAGACATCCTTGAGGCCGAGAGGCAAGTGGAGTGGGAGCGCAGGGTCGGAGAATGAAAGTCGTGGCGGCAAGTGTCTTTGCTTTGACGATGAGTCGCGAAATTTCATGACCTCTACGAACCGAAGATGGGGAGCTTCTTCTGCCTTGGCGCTGATCCCGGGTAACTTTTTAGTGGAGAAGGGTCTTTGGTGCGTGGGGCCGGTCCCTGACGGCCTCCGGCAACCAACTCGCCGACTCGCCGATGCTTTCTGGCTTCATCGGGATAATCAACTCAGCTTCAAACTTTGAGTAAGATAATCATAGCTAACAATTTAATTCTACTGCATGTTTTTCTCCACTTCAGTGATGATTTATTTCACAGTTTACACTGAAAACATTAATGGTGTTAAGTGTTGTCAGAAACTATATGGAAACTAATATCTGTAAAAAACAAAAGCAAAGCCCAAGATCTGTCAAATCGACCAGAACAGCGTTCAATTCAATGAGAATGTCCTGCGGATTTAAGAAATACCACAGCTAGTAGATTGAACGCTTGATATACATCATTTCACTATTGAGACTATGTCTCACGCTCCCCGGATTCAAAGGCGCACCATACTTATACACTTTCAAGAGCCCAAATGGTTTCTGAGATCAAGTGGGAGATGGACGCATCAATTTCAAACAAAAAACAAGTGACGCAACTACACGGTTGGGCAGCCTCTCCTACTCATGACTTCAGTCTCATTCTCTTCTCCCGACCACTAATGCCTAACAATACCTGTACTTCCCGCGACGTGGCTGGGCTTCCATTCGAGCTTGAAGAATTTGCTTCAAACATTCAACGGGCATTTCGACAGATCTTATGGGAGTCTTTATTGTTGTATCGGTGTTGAGTTTCACAGGAGAACGGCAATGAATTTGTATGACGAGCGAAAATGGTACAATGAACGCCGTTGGTGACGAATGGCAGGTATCTCGGTTAACAAAGAGGATGAACGAAATATCTAGTCGCTGTGATCAGGGACTGTTGTTTTCGGTCCATGAATGCCGTTTCTACCCTCGGTTTGCTATGTTTGACCCGGATAATGTATCTCATATATCCCCATCTTCTCTCGGCATCGTTTGGTGAATTCTTTGATCCCCTACCGGGTGTTGCTCAGCAGGGCATCTAGCAGATACGTATCCAACTCGCCTTCTCCATGGATCTCATAGAGGGCACAAATATCAGCTGTCAAGGGAGCTAGGGTGCTGACCAGTTTCTTAGAAGCGTCAATTGGAGATGTCGCGGTGTTAGAGCCATGTCAGTTCGAGGCAGGCGTAGATGCAGGGGACCATGCCCCTTCCCCGCGAAAGCTACTGCAGCCCACTTTGCAGTGGGAGGGGACGTTAAACACCGACTCTGAGCGCTAGTTAGCGTTTGCAACACAGGAATGAAACTCAGAGTTTGGTTTACAACAAGTCGAGCAGCAGGCTCTGGCTGATTAATACTTACTGAAGATTCACGGACCTGAGCGTTGATCTGAATATATAAGTCATCCAGTGGCGGAGGAACCTGGAAGGTTGAGTTGCCTGCCACCAACCATTGGAGGAGCTAGCGGCGGACCCCGGTCCTAGCTCGGATGCAATTCCACTTCAACCCATCCGCTTCTCCATCCCGCAACTTCTTGCATCTGCAGTAAACTACAAGACTCACCGCGACGATGGCAAACACAGCACCAGAACAAACCGGCTCTCCGCCGCCTCCGCCATCGGGGGACGATCCCGTGTACGGCGGCTTCACGCGCTTCGAAATCGAGCTCGAGGTGCGCACACCGTTCGCCCTCCCCTTCCACCAGCCGCGAAGGCACAGCTAACCAGACGCATCGCGCGCACGCAGTTCGTCCAATCCCTTGCGAACCCGCTGTACCTCAATCACCTCGCGACGCAAAAGCTGCTTGCCCGCCCCGAATTCGTCGCATATCTCGCCTACCTGCAGTACTGGTCCCGACCGCCGTACCTGAAGTACCTCATGTACCCCGGCCCGACGCTGAAGCACCTCGAGTTGCTGCAGCAGGAGCAGTTCCGGACGGACATCATCAGCCCGGATCTCGTACAGCGGTTGATCGACGAGGGCATGAAGGCGGCGATCGACTGGCATCGGAGCGATGCGTGAGGAGGGGGGAAGCAATTGGAGAAGCCATTGAATAGTTGCGATTGAGACCGGCACGCGGCGATGACACACATCCAACCTTGAAGGATGTCCCGGACTGAAAAGAACAGGGCTGCATTGTCCAGTCCGACGAGAAGACGTTTGAGTGTGAGGCACTACGGGTTGTAAACCGACCTGGGACGAGGAGTGCGGCGGCTGTTCGTCGGGAGATGCCCAGAGTCGCAAATCATTACGGTATCAGACACATCACGAGATTATGATCAAAAGACAATGAGACTTTGCGGGAGCGAGATAAGTCGTATGAAGGGGAGAAATAAAAAAAAAAAAAACACGATGCTTTTCGGCACTGGGTAATCATTCGTACGAAGCAGCCCTACAGAGGCTATCTCGCTGAACAAGCTCGACCAGCAGCGCGACCAAAGGTCGCAGATATCAAATAAACCAAGTAAACCCAACCGTGCTCCCTAACGCCTCGCAATGCACCGTGAAAGATCAGGCTCCCGTCTCGGTATCAGTTCTCTCTCCACCGGTTTCCGCAAGTCATGCACTGCGGACGGCGTTAGCATTTGTGTCCACGGCCACCCTGACACCGGGAGCGAAGAGGGATCATACCTTGTAGAAGGTGGTCATGGGCTCGTCGGCACTGCGGATCTGCACCTGGAAGAAGGCGGCCTCTTCGCCGTTGCAGCCCTCCTTGGGGCACTGGGCCCGGGCCTTGTCGGCGTTGTCCCACTCGCCGGGGCCGCCGAAAACGTCCTCGCGCTCCTTGCGCTCGAATTCGCGGCGCGAGTAGATGGGCTCCGTGATGGCGTGCTCGAAGGGGCAGGTGCGACACTCGAGGCGGTTGCGCACGCCAGCGTAGGCGGAGACGGTGAGGATGTTGGCGCAGTTGGGGCAGACTGGCGCAGTGGGAGGCTGTTAGTGGGCGATGGAACGAGCGATTGGGGAGGCGGCGGGACGAGACGGAGCCTTACAGAGCAACATTTTGACGGACGAGCAAAGTTGTAGCTTGGGAGAGAAGGCGTCGTGGTCTTGTCCTGCGCGGCTCGGTGACGGGCGGTGTAAAGGGTTTGGACGTCGATGCGCAAATGCCCACGTCTGTCTGTCTCAGTGATTCGGTCGTGATGCTTTTGGAAAATTCAGCGGGCCTTGAATGCGACGGTGGGGGACGAAGCGCTGCAGTCACCAGCCACCGGCCACCATCAGTCACTCAAAAAGCTTGGACAGGCAAGTACCTATGACACCAGGTACTTGCACCACCTTAGCGTGTCTTGGGTACCTAGGTACGGAGTACGGATATTTGGGCAGGTAGGTAATAAAGAACTTCTACGGACAGGTGGGGCCGTTCTGCTGGAATCCCGCTTCAACAATATTCCGTGCCCCTCCTTCTTCGGTCCCACACCCCCGCCTTACCCTTTCCCGCCTGTCCATTCGGCGAAGCGAAGGGGAGCATGTCCTTTGTTCACTGTAAAGCTAACAGTTCGAGGCTGAGGCTACGTACTGGAGCGCTAAGATACAAGCACCACAACTCCCGATCAGGGGTTGAGCGATCACTGCCACCTCCCTGAACAGACCGCACCCTGGCACCAGCCCCCGATTACGTCTCGTTCATTCAGCAGCAGCAGCAGCACCACCACCACCAGAGTGTGTCACTGAGACGCGCAAATCGACGTCCACCGCTCGAATTGACCTCCCCGAACCCAGATCTGCGCATGTTCAGACACCTCTTAGCGAGTCACTTTTCTTGTGCATCCTCAACCTTCCTTTCATTCACAACTTGCAGTTGGTTGCAAACCACCCCCCTCCATACACCTCCTTTCACCCCGATCTCGACCCCACCATACGAGGTTCAGGTACCTACGTAAACCCAAACCGTTCCTGGCTCAGTACAGAGCCAACCCGAAACACGCCTCACCTCTCTATCTCTATCTCTCTCTCTCTTTCTCTCTCACCTCCACAACCTAAACACACGACACCCAGATAGTTGCTCATCTGCAGCACAGAAATGGCCGCGGACAACGAGGAACACGAGGTAAGTTTCCCTCCCGTTCGCGCCTATGTCGTCGCTCTTGTACGGCTGGAAAGCGGACAAGCACTCGAGAGGGTCAGAAGACTGACGGACCTTCCCCCCTCCAGGGCGCCTCCGTCAAGGAGCTTCTCATCGAGGCCTGCCGGCGCAACAACACCGACCTCTTCAACGAGGTCGTCGCCGACATCAAGGACGAGGATGAGCTCTCCCGCATCCTCAACGAGACCACTACTGTCATGGGCAACCACCTCTACCACGAAGCCGCTTCGCGGGGTAACTGTGAGTGCTTCTCTCCCGCCCTTCTTGCACCGTCTGGCCTCACACTTCACCACTCTCCCCTCCGATGCCGATTCTTCCCACCTTTTCTCCTTCAGACATGACAAAACGTAACGGCAACCACGCTAACCTCCGATCTTCCCCCCTCTCTCTGCAGACGAAATAATCGACCTCCTCCTAGATCAACCAAACTTCGAATGCGACCCCGTCAATCGCCTCGAGGGTGACACCCCCCTGCATACCGCCATCCGCTGGATCAACTCGGAACCCCCGGCCCAGCGCGAGTTCGGCAACGCCCTCGTCGAGATGATGCTCGAGGCCGGCTCCAACCCGCGCGTCAAGAACAAGGGCGGCCTGACGGCCGTACAGCTCGTCGACCCCCGCAACACCGGCCTCCGCGACCTCATCCAGAAGCACGAGTACGCCTCCCTCAACGCTGGCGACTTCATCAGCGTCGGCTCCTCCTCGGCCGCGCCCAGCACCAAGGCCCCTGCCGTCCCCAACGCCGCCGCACCCCCCGTGCCGACCGCCCCCGCGCCGGGCTACGTCGACGACGAGAGCGACGAGGACGCTGAGTTTAGCGGGAGCGATGACGAGGAGCGCGCCGAGTGGGAGCGGAGACGGAAGGAGCGCGCCGCGCGCAAGGGCTGATCTTTTCCATGTCTCTCGAGGGTGGTTAGAAAGAGGGGAGAGAAGGATCATACCCGAGCAGCGTCCCGCCTTTTTTTTCCCACTAGCATCGTCTGCTCCTCTTCTTTCTCGGTACCCAGCTTGGACTTTTTGCATTGCATTCACCATCTTACCGGTGTTGAGACCCCAGGGGTGTGTGTGTGTGTGTGCGTGGTCTGGGTACAAATACACGCGGCAGCTTGGTCGTATCCGGGGGGGATGGGGGGCAAAGAGAAAGGAGTTTGGTTTCCTGTATTTTCTTCCCAGGGGAAGAAGCCATTCTGCTTATTCGCCAATCCTCCGACAAAACAAAAACGAACGGGAAACGCAGGAGAGACCCCATCACCCTCGCGCCTCCTACATATTAGACTAGGTAGCAATTGCCATCGCGTTACCATGGCATGGGCAGACGATCCCTCCCGAGAAACAAGCCAGCATTCAAGACAAAGGAGCGGAACGAGGGAAGAGAAGAGAAGGGGGATTGGTGAAAGAGAGAAAAATGAGAGAGAAAAAAAAATGAGAGAGAACAAATATTGAACAAGGAAAAAAAAGAAAAGCAGGTGAGATACAGGCTGTTTCAAAAGACCAGGCAAGATTCGGGTTCGCCTTTCTGTCTGATGCGCGCGTGGCGGGAGGAGAAATAGAGAGGGGGGGCTCAGAAAGTAGTGGACGAACGGGACGGGGCGGGTTAGACCGGCGTTGGGCATCGCGTACCTACTTTACCGTACATCCAGCAGGAATTCGACATACAAAGATCACTTACTCTGTCCTCATCAAGCCGCCGCAGCGATGTATTCAAAGTGAGTCCAAATGCAACGCAAATCACGGCTGTCAGTCCGCCCCATTGCCTCTGCACCGTCAAGTCAGGATTCAACCAAATTGCGAAGAATTTGTTACGTTGTGCTTGATACGGATATAAGCGCTCTAGGTACTCGAAAGGAAAGGGCAGCTACGCTGCTGTCTGCAACGGCTCATAACCTCGACCCTCCTCCTATGTGGTTCTCAGTCTCCATTTCTCTCGTATATCGTCGTCCCATGCATCGTATAGTCGTTCCGGGGTATCCCAATGTCAAGAAATCCAAGCCAAAGAAGCACGAATCATTGCGCGGGTCCTGCCCGCCATGCTTGTCCCAGTGAAAGAAAAACAAGACCCATTCACGTCACCACTCTATCAAAAGCACAGCAGTGATAATCGCACAGATGGCCCAGTGCGACAACACAGCATGGCCTGAGGCAGCGTTCTTCGCGCTCTCAGACTCTATGTAAGTGCGGTTCCTAACCAGCTCCAGGTTCTTTTGGCTCAGAAAACCGGCGCTCGCGATCTCGAACAGCTGCGGTCCCATGGTTCGGAGGATGTTAGTGCTCCGACCGGCGGGACAAAAGACAACCTCCCAGCCGCCACCCGAGGGGACGATGAAGGTCGAGGTCTGGTCATCAAAGGCGAAGCTGTACGCGTCAGGACACATAGCCTTGGCGTGCCTGGAGAACAAACCCGGCTTGCATTTATCGGGATCATGCCATTTGCCTATACAGCAGTCGTGGTCCGAGTTCGTGGCCGCGCATTGGCTCTTGCACGGGCTAAAGGTGGGACGCCTGATTTGGTCGTCAGGGTAAGGGTAGACTCCATCGCCGGGCTTGTCGGGCGGGTTAGTTAGCAGGGGCCAAGGGCACCAGTCTCGAACACTGTCGTTGGATTCGTTTGGTTCCCAAGGGACGGGGAATGTGCTGTTGGTGTAGACCGCTCCACTGGCTGCACGCTGAGCCATGAAGCCTGGCGTCGCGATGCAGGCACAGTTCGTCAGGTTGGGCGGAATGAACGTGGTGTTCTCAGCGGGAATGTAGTTGATGCCGACGGGGAGATTGTAGCCGTCGACGAGGGAAATGTCGTAGAATGTCTGTCTCCCGGAGACACCTCCGGCTAGGTTGAACTCGGCAAGGGTAGCAGGAACGGTACCCTGTACATGTTGTTAGCGCTGGTTGATCGGATCGTGTGGCATGAAACTTACACTGAATTCACAGTCAAGCTTTCCAAAGCAGTCGCCCGTTGCGCAGCCAGCCGACTCCCCGTTGACTGTGCAGTTAGTCCTTCCCCAGGCACGGCCTTGCCATGTCGGCCCAACCCATAAGTCTCGGCTATCGCCTGAGGCGAGCTCGAAGCCTCCGGTCCCGGGGCCGATGCCATGCTGGGTTGTGATGCCGGGCCAGATCGTGCCGGGGCATGAGTTGGTAATCTTCAAGGGTATCCTCCCGTTCCAATCCTCGGGCGGACCTCGTTTGGCGGGGTTATACCTCTTGTTTAGCTGGAGGTAATCGCTTTTGTAACTCGGGTGGTAGCTGGGGAACACGATTCCATTGGTGGTTGGCAACTGCGAGGCAAGTGCTAGAGCAACCAAGAGGTTCCGACTGGCTTTGTTCGAGCGCTTATCGACTTTCCTCGACGACGACCGTCTCATGGTCATTGTGGTGACCGTCTTGAACGGCTTGCTGGTAAAGCTCGAACAATGTGGGAGGTCGACTGCAACAAAGCAGTTGTATGATTTGATGACTCGATGAACAACGGATATGATTTACTCTAGGATGATGAGACAATGCATGGTTCGCAGGCCCCCGAGCTTATATGGTCCCGAGAATCAACGGTGTGGTGTAGCTATACGACCGGCGCTAGCGTGGTAGTGATTGGGTGCCACCAATGGCCGGTGATGGGCTTGCGCCGAGTGACGTACGGAGCGTGGGATAGAGCACGAATAGAAGCAAGGGCCAGCGGAATTCCCGGTGGTGATCGGCCAGCTTGATCCAGGGCCAATACCTGATTATCCCTGCTGGCGCGATGTAGCGTCAGCGGCTACTACCAGGTATTAGGAGCCACAGGTCGGTTGGACGGCGTCGTTGCGTGGGAACAAGAACTGGGTCGTAGGGCAGAGAAATTAGGCTGTCTCTTTACGCTTAAAAACAAGTGGACGGGCGGAGACAAGTAATGATATAAAATAACGGTTCCGGTTAGGAGACGTAGAGAAAGGTTCGTGTCGCGACAACCCCAGTGTGAGGTCGAGGACGGCGAAGAAGAACAAGAAGAAGTAGAAGAAGGGTTAGTTACAAGACGACAAGTGAACATTGCATCACATCGCATCGTGGCCCGCACCGCTGGCTATTTGTCGAGGAAGGGCGGAGGGGGGAACTGGCCCGTCCCATTTACCTGTTGCCATTGACAGTTGTCCGCGTTGCAAGATGCAGGGCCCGACCTTGGACTGAACTCTGCCTGCAGTTTGGGTTCAGACGATGACGCAGGCAGGCACAACTGGCTGCCCAGTTTCCCGTTCGGAACTGCAGGGTCCAGTTTGCCTTGTTGGCAACGGGGCCTTCCTTGCTTGGCCGCTGTCTCCTCGGCCGTTATCCCGGTCGCAAACTCCACTCAGGAATGGATGGGTACTTTATGTACTTAGGTAGGGTAGGTACGATGTAGTTTGGCGTAATGTGGCTAGGTTGGTCTGCGAGATGTTTGCTGTATCGTGCCAGCCACATCCTCCGTCTCACGCACAGCCTCGCTGGACTGCTAGTCATCGCATCACTATCCTAAGCTGTGGGGCTCTCGTGAGGAATCCATGGCCACCGATTCATATGGGTACCAGTTAACACCCCACGTGTTGTCCCCTAATACCTCTCAGCAGAATGACTGGCCACGACTCGCACCTCGAGAGTGTTGAGCTTGGCCTTGCAGCGCGCTCTGTTGTTGATCACTTCGTCCTGCCGCACATCTCCCTGCGATGGAAATTCTTCCTGGCCCGACCGCTAGTGCGACAATCGGAACTGCAACGCAACCTTTGAAATAACTTGATTCATCCCGGGCTGGGAACATCGTCCGTCTACACTTGACAATAGACCATTATCCTTCAGCGTCATAAAAAACCACGCCCCAGTCCCACCCTCGCCTTCCAGTCATCTGTCTGGGAGGTCTTTTCGTGATATATACTCTTGGCTATTATTAGCCTTGGCTGTCCTTCCCGTCTCCCTCACCTTTTCGAGGTATCATCCGAGTGTATGGAAACGAAATGCCCAATGTAAACCGGCAAACATTATCAATCTTTCTTCTCTTTCCATTACGCCCCTGCCGTCTCTACCTGAAACGCGCCCTGCAGCGGCCCATGACCTCGCCCTGGCAGACAAGCTCTGCGCTGAACTCGGACCCGTCCAGTGTCAGGTAGATGTCAAAGTAAACGCGGTAGAATGTGCCCTGTGGCGTGTCCATCCTCTCAAAATCCTTCTCGAGGTTCTTGCGGGACAGATCCGAGGTGAGGGTAACGACTTCCTTGATACCTGAGGGGTGTGTGTTAGCAGTAACATATCAATGGCAACGCGATGCAACTTACGAGGATCCTTGGTGTACTCGGGGCAGACATCATCGTCGCAGGCGTACAGAATATCCTCATACATGAGCGTGGCACCGGGGGCGACTTGTCGGAAAAAGGAAACCTTGACGGGCTCGCCAATCTTGACCTTCTGGCCCTTCTGTACAAAGATCTGCCGTGTGAATTTGCAGCGGTCCTTGCCGTCGAGGGACGGCACACGGTAGGCCTCTGGGTGGTAACCCTCCTTAAAGGGCTGCAGGGTGGCCATGAGGTAGTGGCGACGGGCGACACGGTGGGTGACGACACGCTCCGTAATACCGGCGGTGACTGCACCCTTGACAATAGCGGCGACCGAGTCCATAGGGCGAACAACCTTGGATTGAAACTGAGGAGGCACGTGGAGCTTGATCTGCTGGAAGAGGTACTCCGAGGCACCGAAACCACCGACGACGAGAATGTTCTGCAGCGTGCGGTTCTGGGCTTGGATGGCGATGATCTGATTTCTGACGAGCTCCAGAATGCGGTTAACAACGGGCTCGAAGCACTGCAGAATCTCCTCGTTGGTGAAGGTCATGTAACCCTCCTCGATACCCGCCTCGGGAAACTCGGCCTCGATGCCGACGTCTACAGCCCATTTCTGCCCGTTATTACGGAAGTCGGCCTTGATGCGGTTCTCAAAGTCCATGATGCACTTGGCGTATACACGGCCTGCGGTCTTGGACCCGTCAGGCAGCTTCATCTTGCGAATCTTGGTACGCAGGATGTTGCTGAAGTTGCGGTTCAACGCTGTCGAACCGCAAGAGTCACCGGATCCTGCCGTGCACTCGGCCACCGTGAAGGGGTTTTCTTCCTCGACCTCGTACGCAATCAGATCAACAGTACCACCACCGCAATCGACAATCAGCACGGCGTCATGCACCTTTAGGTTCAAAAGACCCGTCTTGGAGCAGAAGATGGCGGCGGCCTCTGGCTCAGAAACCAGCGTTAAGCGGTTGTCGTTCTCGTCCCGCAGGAAGCCAGCCTGGATAGCGGCGGCTCTGGTCGCGGCCTTGCCAGCGTCATTCCAGATGGCAGGTACGGTCAGGTAATAGCGGATATTGCGCTCCTCGCGGTTGAAGACCTCACCGAGAGTCTTTTGCAGGGCAGAACGCATCGCCTGGCGGAGTTTGAAGAGGTAGTCGGCGGCGACATCGATCTCGGACTTGCCAGGAGGCAGAGGGGGCAGGTTGATGGGGTCAATATAAGTGTTGCCGGACAGCATAAGCTGCAGCTTGAACCACTCGACCTTTTGCACGCCGGGCTTCGGATATCCAGTAGGCGCAAGGGCATCGGCAATATCAGGACCCCAGCCAACAACCTTCTGGTACTGGTCGTAGTAGAGTACCGTGGGGATCTGCAACAAATGGCGGTTAGCCAAAGCCGGAAAGGCCAGGGTGAGGGTATACGGGAAGGGTATTGCCAACCTTTTGCTTCGTGTATGATCCAGCGCCGGGCCATTCCGTAATAATGTCCTCCTTCGCTTCGTTGTTCGTGGCAAAGGCAAAAGCCACGCCAGAGAAAGTGGTGCCCTATCGCTCACGTCAGCAACCAACTCCAAAGCACCACGAAGGGTTTCCGACTCGGCGAGCTACGTACAAAATCGATTCCGACAATCAGCTGAGCCTTACTCCTGCTGTTTCCCTCGACCTCGGCCGCGCTGCCTCCACGCTGGTATTGCGCCAAGGGCCCTCCCCCTTGAGGGGGGCCCGGGGGAGGGTAACCGCCGCCGCCGCCGCCGTATTGAGGAGGACCGCCCATCGGATGTCCTTGACCACCGACAGGAGGGAGCTGAGGCGGGTAGCCGGCGACGGGAGCGCCACCGGTGTTGATGGGCGGAGGGCCGCCAACCATCTGGCTGGGCGGGGTGCGAGCCGGACCTTGACCGGTCATGGGACTGGTACGACCGATGGGAGGAGGACCGCCGGGAGGGTAGTTGGCCGAATAGCTCGGGGGACGGTTACCGGGGCCTGAATGATTCATCGGAGCGATCGAGGCGGAGGATGTCGAGGCGATGGAGCCTGGTCGGAGGGGAATCTGTTGCGGTATTTGAGGGGCACCGGAAGGATGGCCACCTTGTGGAGGAGGGGTCGGGCTGGTAGTGTGATTCGGATCGGGCGTTTGGATGCTGGCAGTTGACTTGCGCTTACCGAAACCAAAGCCTTTCAGGCGGGAGTTGGAAAAGCTCATAAGGGAATACTGGAGGAGGGGAAAAGGAGGGGAGAAGAGCGAGGGCCCTGGTGGGCAGGATGAGCAGAGGGTATATCGGTTTGGGTTGCGGGCGTCGGCGGCGGTGCGGTGCTGTTCCAGTAAGTTGGCGGAAAGGTTGTGGTGGTAATCGGAGGCGGGATGATGGCCTGGGCTTAGACTTTTAGGACTTGGTGCTGCGGCTGGTGGGTTGCGGCTGGGGTGTCGAATTCGGGGGATTGGGGAGGGGGAGGGGGGAGGGGTGGCCGAGAAAGAGAGGAAGAGAGAGAGAGAGAGAGAGACAGAGAGAGGGATTGGAACCCAGATAGGTCGGGAGGTGGGAGTTAGTCAGTCCGTTCCTCAGTCGACAAGGCCGCAAGTCAGGATTCTTAAGGGGGGAAAATGATGACTTGGGGACCTGAAGGGGACTGGGAGGACTCTAGGACTCAGCTGCTGCGACGGGTCCGAGGTTTTGCGACTTGACGCTTGACAGGACGAGGGCGGCGAGGGAGGGGGAAAGGGTAGGGGGGCCGGAGGGAAAGAGTAAGAAAATAGAAATGCGCTGCTAGGCCACGGCTCAGGTTGATTCGAGGGAACTTTGGTGGGGGGGGGGTGGAGCGTGAAAACGTGGGCTGGTCTCCGGCGTTGAGATACCTAAGGTAAGGTCGGCAAAGTAGAGTAATTGTGTGGCCGCCCCGGGCGCGTTTCAATGAAGACGCTGTTTCTGGGGATGATACGGTGCGGAAAGGGATAGAGATTGGTACAGAAACGGAGCACAGCTCTGATCTGTTGCTGTGTCGTACCTAGGCAAAATACCTTAGGTGAGTGGAAAGAAGCAATGGCAGCAGATGCGATTATCTGGGCCGACAACGAAGACGGCGTAGAGAGCAGAA